GAGTGATATATATATATATATATATATATATATATATATATATATATTAATAAAAGCGAGCAGAAAAAGAGAAGGAGGACACTGATGGAAGGTTTAGAGTCCAAGAATAGCAATCGATCAGAGACATCGTTAAGATACATTTAAAGTATCTTAACGAATAATAATAGTATCAAAACGAATAAATAAAAAGAAGTCGTTAAAGAAATGAACATAAATTGATTGATTATAAAAGAAAAAAAATAAATTAATGAAATAAATTAAATATATAAAAATAAAATATAATTTAAACAATAGAATAGCAAGCAATATCTGAGTTTAATATTAATTAATCGTTTATCAAGATTTGTATTGAATTTGGATTAAATTCAATTTCATTGGATATATGCATTTTGAAAATTCACAACATGCAGAAGAAGTAGCGATGAATTACATCTATTCAATTGCCTCTTATATTATTCTTATGAAAAATTCAAAAGTGGTACATTGTTTGTCAATTTTTATCTTTGATTGAAATCACGAGAAATCAATATATCGCGATACGGCGAGATACTTTTAAATGTCATTTGTCGTTTTACAACGTTGTACCGATTACCGATAGTCCATCCAATAATTATAGTTTGCTTTCGCATCAAGAACTTTGTTATTCTTAACATTAACGAGGTTGCAAACATAGTTAGGAAAATATATTTAACGACCTCTTTTTTTTTTTTTTTTTAAATGAAGAGATTATCCATATAGATATAAAACAGATAAAACAGAAATTTACTTACCAACGTTGAATAATCTGCATTTTTTTCATCGTCAACATCCTCGAACGACGATTTTCTCCTTAAAATATCGTACTCTGTCTTTTCTGGAAAAAATAAATACACACAATTAGACGATGATACGTTATTTAAAAAGAAAAAAAAATTTCAAAGATAAAAAAATTAATATCGAACAGTATTTATACAATACTATTTATATAATGTGTCGTTCTATTGCAATAAAACGAGACTTTCTTGAATCGATTGCAGCAATTAATCGATATCTTTGCAATAGCGGAAATCGTTTAACAATCGGATTAATCGAATGAATCGCCACGGTTCTGAGTCAATAAATGAACTGACAATTGAGGCTGACAATTGGAAAAATAATAAATTGAAAAACAAATTAATTATTCATCTTTTGATCTTTGATATCGAATTGATTGAATTCATTGGATCAATTTCTTAAATAACTCATCTGTAAAAAAAAAACATTTTTAATCTCTCAATTAACTCTTCGTGTAATGCTTTTAAACGTGTTATTGATAATTGAATTAAAAGTTTTCGACGATGATTTTTTTTTTTTTTTTTGATAATGTTTAATTGAAATGGATAATTAAGAAAGAACTCGAACGAAAAAAACTTTATAAAAAGAAATCGAAAGAGGATGTGTGAACGAGGTCGATCCTTATCTTTCACCTTTTACGGCAGGATCATTCAATGTTTATCCGTTCGATTCGAATGGATCAGAATTTAAAGATAATTGAAATCGAAAGTAGGACGCCTTAATTGGATAACCTGAGAGTTAATAGATACGAAACAAAACGTTAAATAGTTTAAATCAAAGCCAAGAAATATTTTATAGAGAATTGTAAATTTTTCGAGCAACGATACAAATTTTATTAATTCTTAAATCGATCTCCAATTTTCTCTTCTTTTATTGATTTTTAAAAAAAAAATGAAACGCGCATTATTAAAAAATATTTGCAAAAAATAAAAAAGATGAAGAAATTTTTTTTTAAATCAGAAGAATTATTGTGACTTCTTAGTTTGTCTTTAAAATTTTATGACAATATTTCAACTATATGTTATTAAATTTTATTAATTATAAAAGGATTATAAAATCGTTACAGAATTTTTTTTTTCAAGAGAAATTGAAATATTAACACGATTACATACCATTGTCAAATATTGTGTCATCCAAAATATTTTGTTCCTCGTTTGGAAAATAATAATTGTTCGAAGGAGATGCCATGTGAATTTATAAGCAGATAAGATCATAAAATATTGTATCGTGATACGATTTATTGAAATGTATACAAAAGTTTAAATCAATAATTGGAAATTACAAATCAAAGATCGATTCATTTTAAAAAAACCAATCTAATACACGAATAACAATATTAGTGCAAAATTATTCTATCGAAAATATGAATTTTTTTTCAAAAGAATATAAGCTTTGATTACATTGCAATCTCAATCTTACATCATATTGATAGAGATTCGTATCAGCTGTTTGTCGGTTGAATCATATTCAACTAGATAAGTCTAAAAAGAATTTAATCCAAAAATAAAAAAAAAAAAAAAAGAAAAAAAAAAAAAGGTTAAAAAATTTAAAAAAAAATTTAACCAAAAAAAAAAAAAAAGAAAAAAAAACAAGTCCGAAAAATTTAAAAAACAATACCCCCCACTAAATTTTCTTTTTGTTCTCCAATACCTTCCATTTCTACTTGATCGTACTTATCTATTCCTCACGATGCCCTCGAAAAAAAAAAAAAAAAAAAAAAGAAAAAAAAAACAAGTCTGAAAAATTTAAAAATCAATACACTCCACTAAATTTTCCTTTTGATCTCCAATATCTTCCATTTCTACTTGATCGTACTTATCTATTACTCACGATGCACTCGAAAAAAAAAAAAAATGAAATAGAAAAATATTCTTAAAGATCGACAATAAGAATTTTATTCCGTTTCAAATGTTTTACACGTTTATAAAAGTCCAGAAAACAAAAATTGATAGATCTAGACAGTTAATTTGGATTGCGATGTGTTGTAAACGACTCAGAGACAACGACTGGTCGACAAAACCAAATTGTCCAGGTTAAAATTCTACGCGTGAGTGAGTGGGCTCAGGAACGAGATAGGATCGTTGGAGAAACTCGTGATACAATGATCATGTTCGTTAAACGGGAGCACGTTCAAGGGAACACGAATAAAATGAAAAAAAAAATATTAAAAGAAAAATAAAATTTTGTTGCAATTAGAGACGTCTCGCAAAGCAAAAGTGCTTCGAGTTATGGCTGATATATTCGTAATGAATTTTTTTGTCACTCCATAGACAGCTTTGAAAGTATCAGTTTGATGCGAGGCAAAGAATTATACATTGGTGCTAATAATATTTTCCTTTGGCTGTTTAAAATATTTGCTTGATATATATATATATATACATATATATGTATATACATGTGCCTGTTGTTTCATTTTTTCAAATTTAAATGTCGATTGGCTGAAGAATTTAGATTACTAAATGGATCGAAATGAAATTATCATTGAGATTAGTTTTCTTCTGATAATTGTACGTTAAAGCGTGTAGTTTTTTTTTTTGTAAGATTTTAGCGCTTGTAGAATAATTAAATGGAAGCCTACTAAGTTTAAGTAAATGTGATTTCGAAGATATGTTCGCTGGTTTTGGTATGTATAGAAATGAAGATGATGTTTATTCTTTTGATGAATTTGTACAATTTCTAGAAGAAAGTCTACTATGATTTGAGAAAAATTACCGAAGGATTTTATAATTATTAAAAATTAGCTTGAAGAAGAAGAAGAAAAAAAAAACATTAGAAATTTTTCTTTGAACAGGATATACAAATTGAATTGCACAAATTGAATAGAATTTCAGAATATTCGATGAAACTATATTTTGCAAACCAAAATGATATGCAAAGAAATATTTTAATTTCACGAATAGTTGAAAAGAATATATTCAAACATAGTCGAGACTGAATCTAGCATACGATTTAAAGTTGCAATAGCTATTATCCGAACAAAATATCATCTCATTGCTTTCTAAAATGAACAAAGGCATTGTGATTAATTCTATCTGAATTCTGCTTTGGTTCGAACGTATTAAACTGCACTTTGGATAAAAAGGTATCTATCTATATAAAAAGATAAAAATGCTGTATGAAGTTTTAATAACTTATTTGTACGGATTAACTTTCAGATCAAAAAAGTAAAAGTAAATATCTCCCGCAAGATTATGTTATCAGTTTCGAGCAATTTACGTATCGTGTACAATATTTTTCCATATTCGAATTTATTCGCACTTAATATGTATATATAACTGGCCATGGTGTTAAATGTAATGTGTCTCTAAATATGATGCCTTACACTTGATATTACCATTTGACTGATTTTTCTTTTTTGAAAAACGCTAGAACGAAGATCTCGCAAATTTCTAATAGTGAGCTTTGATATCTTTGATTTTTTTTTTTTTTCTTGTTAATTGAGTTTCAATAATACGAGTACAATGATGAATAACATACGTAGTTAATTTTGCTTGCACGCTCGCAAAAAGAAACTCTGTATGGAATTGCCATTCGGCATTATCTGTGTCTGATTTGCATTCGTAACCACGTATCCAAATATGTGTGACTCTTTATCAAAGAATCAATATAGCGTTTCGACATTATATCTCTGTGCCATCGAGCTTCTTGCTTACAAAAAAAAAAAACAATTAAACAACTTATTCTGCTTGTAAGTTACATTAAAAAACGAATTTTAACAGGAGACATGAATATATTAAAGATTAAAGATTAATTGAAATTTGAATATTGATAAGAAAATTCTGATCCAATCAATAGAAATGAATTCAAATGTTATTAGAAATTTTGTGAATGAGTTTTACCATCTATAGTTACACCATCTATATTTAAAAAGCATTAAAATATCATTATCAGTGGACTGTGTAGATTTGTAACTTAATTGAAACTTATTAATAAAAAGAGTAAAAAGCAGAATTTTAGTATACATAAATCTGAATGAAAAAATTTTATTAGATGATAGTACAAATTAAGCAATTTAAATAATATAAAATATAATAATGCAAAAAAGTTATTGTATTTCGTTTTCAATTATTACACCATACAAAAAATAAGGTAGCACAATATTCAAAGAATGCCAAAATTCAATTTATACATTATAATATAATAAATTTTATAAAAAATTTTCAAATTTACTAAAATGGTGTTCCCTTGTCAAGTGCTGAATTCGAAGGAAATTAAAAATGTTCGCTTGAATGAAATCCATTCATTTTGCTTCTCCTTAGAAAAAATTTCAATCCAGTCGATCGACATATCAAATCCACCTTAATTAAAAAAGGTTCTACAAAAAATAGTGAAAATAAATCAGAATATAAATATTTCTCTATATATTTAAAAACGCTCCTTTCACAAATATATTTAATCTCTAGAATCGCCAAAAATATTCTACGAATTTAATAACCAAATCAATTTTATTTCTTGTTTCTATCTATTTTGTGCTCCTCTATCATTCAGTTATTATTAATCCATCTCAGTAAAATTAAGTTATAAAAGATTTTCTAAAAAATTAATAAAATCAAAAAACAAGAATTTCTATCCTAACAAACGGTTCTTTTTTGAACATGCATATGTATACATCAATTCAAATTAGACAGCAAAATTATATTGTGAAATATCCCATAAAAAATTAAACAAATCAAAAGATAAAAACTTTTACATACAAATATTCAATATTCAATTCAATTTTTGTTCGTCCATTTTGTGAAAAGATCCCTTTTTTAAAAAATTAAAAAGACGAAAATCTCTTTCTATTTACACATTTACATTACATTTCTTTATACTTAGATCAAATCAATTTCCTGTGCATCATTAATTTATCTTTCTTTTGACAATTACAATTCTGATTGAAACGTGATCTAATTGGATTCGAGTTCGACGATCGACTTCATCATCGACGTAAGAAAGATTTCTAGTTGCAAATAATATACGAAATTAAATTTTATCGAAATTCAATAGAAACCGTAAACCGAAACAAACCTTAAAGCTCTAATTAATTCATGTCTCAAATGCTGAATAGCGTGGCTATAAGACTAGGTCAAGGCGAATCACTCATGTTCCTCTTTCGAGTCATTCTTTCGCAAAATGCAACTCTTCTCGATTGATTGTTAATATTTTCGATCGTTCGTGCCTTAAAATCGAATCGAGTTCATTTAACGTCTCGCAATCGTCGGATCATCTTAATATCAATAATGAATTTGAATAAATATAAGTAGAATTATAATTTCTTTTTATCTTTCTTTCTTTTTTCTTTTTGAAGTATTTGAAGTATTTTGAAGATTTAAGATCAGATGACGCATGAATGTGAGATTAACATATAACAGATAAACATATGAATTAACATAGGATAAAATAGAAAATTCGATAATTGTTAACAAAATATTAGATTATGAGATAAAAATATTGATTATATGGAATAAAATAGAATATTCAATTAATAATAAGAAATTAGTTATAGATATACAGAGATTTTTGCCTGTTCTTTAATACATTAGTTCTCGATTTCACAACTGTCGGGGCCCTCTCGTACAATACTGTTAATAAAACTAATGTTATTAGTAAAATTTTAGAATCACAAGTTGCCAGTAATTTTTTCCTCTTCTTTCTGCCTTTTTTTAACTTTGTATTAAATGCATAATAATAGTGATAGAATGAGAATATGGAAATTAAATCTTTTTCTTTTTCTTTTTTTTTATAGAACATCTTGTCTTCTAACTTTCTTTTTAAATTTAATCCTTAAAATTTCTTTTAATCCTGTCTATTTTTTTACAGAAAAACGAAACGTTTAAAATAATTAATAATTTGGTTAACAATAATAAAATTATAAAACGAATGAATGTTGTAAATAAATATTGACAATTAAAATTCTGATTGTTCTGCTTCGATTATAATTGATGACATTGTAGAAGAGAATTTATTTAACTCTTTATTTAACTCTAACTTTTACTAATATTATTAGTTGATAAATTATTGTGCAAGAGGGCCCAGGGGTGAAAAGTAGGATAAAATATCAATTTTAGTATCAATTTTTTCCCTTTTTTATTCCTTATCACTATATAAGTTAATCCCATTTTCCAGTCGAACTTGGCCTATGTAATCTCATCGAGATTATTGTGAGATCATTGTTAAGTGGTTCGATCTGGTATCACGTAGGTTAATCGTACTAACAATTTACAGGAATTGATTATTATCGAGAAAAGTATAAAAGTTGAGTATTAGTGTGATCGATTTGCGTTTTTGTAAGATTGAGAGAGAAAGAAATATTTCGAATTTCGAGTTTTTGAGAGAGGAATGACAGATGCAAGAAATAGATTATATTCAAAAAATAGAAAAATAAAATTGCAACTTTGATTCCTACAAATTTAGATTATAATTATCATATTAAATAAATTAGAAATAGTATAAATAGTAAAAATTAGAAATAGTATAATGTATTCAAAAACTAAAGATAGAAAGTCATTTATAAGAAAACAACGAATTTATTGAATAGATATTCATAAGCAAAAAAAAAAAAAACAAAGAAATTTTGCTTAAAAATTTAAAGTATCGATAAGTTAAAATAGAAAGTTATTCATAAGAAAATACTAAACATGCTCAAAAAAATAAGTGGCCTATTTAAGTACTTAAGAAAGATAAACACAAAACTTTACAATATGAAACTGTACAAATTAAAATTCCATAAAGTTAAAGAAGAGAGATTACCAAATAGAAATCCTTGCTCCATATCCGATTCTTTTCTCTTTTTCTCCCCTGTATCCTCTACGTATTCCAAAACACTACTCTTGCAACCCATTCTCGAAGCAGCTTCTCACTTCGATACGCAATCCTTTCCCCTTGAACATATCGTCCAAACTTCATCAACTGGATTCTAAAAAAATAAAAGATGAATGAGAGAGATGAAAAATAATTCCTGTTATATATATCTATTATCGTCGTTGAACTTTCTCAATTTTTTTTAAAACAAACAAAAAAATAAATAATTATTCAAATTAAATTATCCAAAGGAATAATATTTATGAAAAATGCCACGAGATTATTTTGCAAATGCGATGCATCGAGATAACGATTTGTGACGATGGGAAATGTGATTGTGAGCACGCATAATTGATTCGACAACGAGAATTTCGGCTTGTTATAAGATATGTAAAGAGGTTGAAAGGCTGTCTGCAATGTTGTGGAACGATGCATAAACTCGATATTGCAGGAAGTAGAGAGAGAGAGAGAAAGGGAATGGAGAATGATTAAGGCAAGAGATAATGAATATTCGTGTGATGTTTTACGTTGTCATTGAAAATTAAATTTGTAAATTTTTTAAACGAGGCTTACCATTGAGACATGTACAAGATGAATGTTTTGCATACATGTATCTTGAAGAGTGCATGATCATTGGAAAGATTCTTGCATGGATCGAGCACTTGAAAAATTGTTTAACACTATCCGACACTGATTACACTGAACATATTGGATACACAAGTTCTTTCTTGATTTTAAAATTCTTTCCAAAACTAGTCACTAAATTTTTTATCAGTTGTTGAAAATTGTGATCATCAGTTTCTCTAAGGTGTGTTCAGTTCCTCTATGATGGCTTTCCTCTCTCTATGATAAAGAAAAATAAGATCAATTCAGAGAGAAAGAGTTAGTAGATATAGAGCTTAATAGATTTTTAGAAGATTGCTATAGATTTTTTTTTAATATAATTATTCAAAATATATAATTTAAAAAAGAGAAAAAAAAATTAAAAATTAAAGAGTTAGTAAATTCTTTATTAAAATTGCGTGTGATATGTTAGATGAATATGCTAGATCGTTTCAAAAAAATTAATAATATAGACAATATAGATTAAAAAGTATGAAAAGTATTAAGTAGTAACGAGCTAATAAAATTAACACGATAATATAAATATTTTAAGAAAATTATTTATAGATTAGAAATACAATCATATATTTTGAAAATTCTCTATCTTTTTTTTCAAAGATCTAAAAATAATCTCAACGATAGAAAGAATAATAACGTAGAATCAATAGAATAAGAATAAGATAAAAGAAATTAATTTAAGTCTAAATAATAAACAAATAAAAAAATAATCCAGTATTTCCTTGTACATCTCTGTAATACATCAATGGCTGTAAGATTTTGTAATCTGTATTTTGAAACATGCACAGCCACTACAATTCCCCAGAACAAAATCATAAACCAGTTATCGTCACAGATACGCGACAATTTATGATATTTTTCAAGATAATATTTCTCTCCTCGTTCATTCATATTTTAAACGGAATATATTATCAACTTCTTGTTTATTCTTTCCAATCAAACATATACGTAATAACAAAGTAATCGAAGTAATAAAATTGAGCCAAGAAAAATTATTTTGCCAATTATTGACCAATCAAAATATAAGAAACATATCTTATACGCACAAATATTGTAGCCCGCACGCACCGATCGTTATTCCAACACCTAAATTGATCAAAGCCCCAATTATTCACGAGCACGAGAAACAGAAGAAAATTTATTTTCCACCAGATAAACGAAATCGCAAAGGCTCGTTCGATCTTGACACTGAATCATGCGACACTGAAGGCCAAGCTTTGAAATCACACTTTGAAAACACGCTTTCTGCTCCCGACATTCTTCGCTTTATCTTATCACATCAGCCTCACCAACCAGATCAATTCAATTCCAAAGATTCCTACATCCGAAAATCACTCGAACAATTCACAATTTCACAAACTCCGCCCGATTCTTTCGCTTCCTCGATCAACCTTGAGTAACGTAACATGATAAAAACGTGTGTCGCGTGTGCAAATTTACGATTTGCTTGTTTGAAAGAGAGAGAAAGAGAGAGAGATAACGATGAATGCAGAGAATCGAGAGAAGAACTCGGTAAATGTTAAGAAGAGGAGTGAAGAAACGTGTCTGAATGATCGATCGGTTTGGACGTGGACCAAAGAAATCGTCGGATGATGTCGATCGCTGGCTCGATTCTGATCGAGATCCCATTTCAACATTGGCTCTTGACGCTTCCCAGAAAGATTTACGAGGTCGCCTGTTTCCTCCTCTGCTATTTGACTTTTATCATTGTCTGCTAATTTTCACTTGGGAATAATTAACGTCGCAATTGTTTGGATTTCGAGATGCGAAATTGGAATTCAGGATCGATAAATCGGTGTAATGATTAAATCTGGTATAAATCTATTGTTGATCGAAATTGATAGAAATGTTGTTGAGTTTTTGGTAGAATTATAAACGTGATTTTATATAAGGAAATTTTATTACGATGAATGATTTAAAAAACAAATATGAATGTATAAAAGTTGTAGAAGAAAACATTTATTTAAAAGTTAAAGAAAACTTGCCACCAAATTCCCAGATCGAAAGTAAAACAATTCATAAAAATTCATTCGATTTATCTCTGATTGAAATTTGAGAAAGATTTTGTTCTATTGAGATGTATTGAAATTAAAATTATAAATTAAAATAACAAAACTTTGAAAATTCGATATAAAACCTATTCAATCGAAATTTGAATTATTATTGAAATTTTAAAAACTAGATTCTAAATCACAAATTTTTCGAAAATTCCATAATAATTTAAAATTCACAGTTTTTAAAAAATTAAAATTATAAACAAAACTAATAATTTTTCCAAAATTATACTTGAACCTTACTGAATCATCAAGTTTGAAATATTGTTCAATTCTAATCTATCTAAATTAAAAAACAACAAATCTATGAATATCATAAATACAAAGATTATCGTACATATAATACCAATCAAAGTGAATTTTCAAACCTGATAAACAATAGTTTATAAACAAAAACAACTATTCTTTAAAATTCTTTAAAAACAACTATTCTCTAAAAATTCTATAAAATAGTCACTTAATCATTAAAAAAAATTCACATCTCGAAAATCAAAATTAAGAAACAATTTTTCTAAAAATCCTTGTACAATTTACACTCGATTATTCCATTCCGTGTACACGATAAAGTAGTTCAACATGACGATTGACTGACTATGGGATCACAATTTCATCGACGATCCTCGAGTCGATCGATCGAGGATCCATTGTTAGGCAACGCGATGTCCCGAGATGTGCGCCACGTTTTAATAAAGCTAGACCCAGTTGCAGAAGGCATTATGGCCTCGAATTCACTGACTAAAGTTTTCGATACGAGAAGGGGGATCGGGATGCTTGAACCCCTCTTTTTCTCGATCGTCTAGCCAAATATTTTGTTTGCTGTTTGCAATTGCGTCGATGGGAGAATTCTGGCGTTACGTGACGCGTGATTTATTCGTTTATTAAAGAGTTTTGATAAGCAAGAGAAAAAAATTTTTTTGACAAATATATTCTCCAAATAAAAAACAATCTATTAATGATAATTCAGGAAATATTGTATCTACGATTGTATTGTATTTTATATTGGATTATATTGTATATTGAGTTTAGATGGTAGATTATCATAGTATATGTTGAAAACGAGTAGTATTACACCTATGGAAGATGTAAATGCAAGAGAAATGAAAGCCTCCTAAAACTTCTGACTGATTTGTAAGAATACTTTTTATTGATGTTGATCAAACAAATTTTACTACCTTTATTTAAAAGAAAATCAAAGTATATTGTTTATCTTTTGTATCTCCCCAAAAAAAATTAATCACATAATCATAGCCAAGGACCCTAGCCAGCATTGAACAGGTGAGATAGATGATTTGGCTAGAACAGATCTTCTACTTTTATAAATTATTAGAATACAGTAACAAAGAAGGAAAATTATTAGTATTTGATCCCTTCAAATCGAATAAAATCCTATCCAACTGGCCAGTATTATGAGTATACATATAAAAAGTTTCTTGGTAGTTTGAAAATTAATATAAGTATGTTTTAAAAAATATATATAGGCTAAAAATTAGTAAAATTAATTAAATGAAATAGATCTTTAAAATGAGCCTTTTAGTGAAATTATTTGAAAATCAAATATCTATTTAACTAATCATGGCGATATTGAATAAGTAAATAGTGAAAATACAGGTTTATTAATAAGATTCATTGCGATGATGTTTCAGTAACTAATACAGGTTCTTTAACTGAGCAATGTTTTTTTAAATTTTTTTACAAACTGTTTATAAAAAATGTTTTAAAATATAAATAGCAATATCTGAAAAGAGATGATTAAGAAAGAAAACTTTGTATGATAAAAATTAAAAGAAAAGAAAAAAAAGAATAACAAAATTAAAATTACTTCATAGTATTCAATAATTCATAATTTGATCGTGTTTGTCTAATTGAGAAAATAGAATGGAATGTTTATGATAGCAAAACAATAATATAGATAGAATAATGATAGAAATAGTAGCACAAGACAATGTGAATACGTTTGCAATTCGATACTGAACAACACGTTATGAAACATTCAATGGAATCTCCTTGAAGGTATTATTCGATTTGAAAGGCTAATACTGCACACTGTTCGAATGACGAATAGCAATTGCACATTCATGGTCTGGTTAGTTTAGCTTGCAGAAACTACAAAAAAATCCTAAATGCAAAACATATTCAATTAAATATTTAAACACATAGCAAAGAGAAAACAAAATGTTGATACGATCTTTTTAAACTTACTTGAAACTTAAAATCTTTTAGTCTGCTTTCGAATTTTTAGAAAAATTTATTATATATTTTCATTTTTTTTCTTTCAAAAAAATTACAAAAAAAAATAATATTCGCACAAAATAAAAACTATATGATCAAATATTATTAATTAAGCCATAGATCGATTGCATAACAATTTTCATAGAATTCCAAAAAAAAACCAAATTCGCTCAATTTAATTTAAAATATAAAATTTAACGTCCAACAAAATTTATATCAAAGCAAAATATATAAATAATCAATTTTTATCATTAATAATAACGTAAAAATGAAAATTTTAAAAAACAAAAGTCGAATTATTCGAGAATTATATTAAATTTCTTCTTATATTAAATTTGAAAGAAAATTAATCCAAAGGAAGAAGATTTTATGCTTGATAAAAGTCAAATAAAATTACCGAGTATTTAAAATTTGCGCGTAGCAAATATCAAGATTATTCGACCAATTGTTATTGCGAGTTTACTCAGCGGTCGCACAAAGCAATTATTTATACAGGGGCGCTTTAATTTTCTCGACGGAAATTATCTTTGCCTGTGAGCTCATCGTAAATGCATTTCTAATTGTCTCCCTCGTTGCAACTTCATCGTGGAATCTATATCTTGCATATGACGTTTAAATTTTATATACCACACCTCTCCAGATGCGTATGTAAAGCTGATGAAGTAACTGTTATTCACGGGTGAGTGACGACCATTAATTTTTGATAGAAATTGTTCCATTTTTCTTACCTTCTTTCTTTTAACTAGGTTCAAAATAAACTCCCTATATCTTAAAGTTTTTGCAAATTTTGAAGAAAATTTGATAAACAGAGAATGGCCCATGGAATTAGAATTGAAATTTAATTTAAGTATTTGGAATCTAAATATATAAAAATGTTATTAAAATATTTAAAAAAATGATAAATGATAATGAAAAAAACTAATGATAAATCTCTCTACCCATGATAATATTATTAAGAAAATATATGTTATCATATCATGCGTCATATGACACCATGGTACTAAAATTTAATAAAAATAGATATAAATAACTCTTAAAAATTTTAAGAAATATTATAAATTAAGATTAATAATAATATTATAATTTATATAAATATTTAAATTAAGACTTTTTTGCGTTTAATCGATGTTAGATAACTTAACTTAAATATAAATTAATAATTGTAAAATAGATTGTAAAAGAAAATTCTTCTTCTCGTAATCGATTTATTAACTAAAATCTTTTATTTGTAAGTAATACATTACGTAATTAATTGATAATTATTATAATTTAAAAAAAATTCATCTGTAAAAACGATAAAACAAAAAAAAATAAAAAAAGAATAAATGATATTGTTAAAATACTATAAAATATTATACTATACTTAAAATAACATTTGAAAAATTGTAATAAAATTGTAATTAAAAATAAGTCATATATATTAAAAAATAGTTTTATAATCTTAATAATAATTGTTATCAATAATTGAGAATACAACAATGAATAAATAA